CAGCTAAGCGGGGAACAAAAGTGATGAAGGGCGCTTTCCTGCCTCATGCTGCCCCTATCTCCAGCCTGCTTCCCGTGGCTTCTGTAGCTTCCAGGTTCCCTGGGGAACCAAGAACCTGAGGCAGACAACTCCAGGGGTGTCCTGGGCCTGAGAGGGGAGGAAGGCGGAGGATTACTCAGGAGGGAATAGAAGATGAGAGGGGAGAGGGCTGGTGCCCATGGGCCCCACTTCTCCACCTGCTGCTCTGAGAACAAAGCCAAGAATGATGCAATCTCAGCCTGGTGCAGCTGAGGCTGCAGGGCCCTGAGAGGAAGAGTGGGCACGGCGGGGGCTGGGGGGTGCAGGCAGTGGGCAGCAGGGCAGATGCAGGGGGCTTGTCGGGGCTGGATCTGAATGCCCCATCCATGAGTGGCTCCAGGAGCCCCCACCTGGGTCAGACCCTCCCCAACCACAGCTGCTGTCAAAGCCAGAATCAGACATGATGCAACCAGGACATCATTCCGGGCGGTGTCCTCAGAAGGCAGAGCACCTGCCCAAGGGGCGGGGCTAGGGGCAGAGGGTGAGTGCAGAGACCCGCTGAGTCTGAGCTCCCATTGGGCCCTTCACCAGCAGGCCTCTGTCTCTGTCCTGCTTTCTCTCATCCTGGAGACAAGAGGCAAAACCCTCAGGAGAAGGCAGGGTGGGAAGGCTTCGCAGACCCCCAACCCAGGGCCTGCACGAAGCGTTACATGTTTAACGAATGAAGTAAAACCAAAGACAAGCACTGACATGGGTCTGGACCCCAGTATCAGGAGGCCAAGCCTGGCACCCCCTTGGGAGCGGGATACCATTAGCATGCACCAGCAGCAGAGGGGAGGGGCTGTGCCATGAGGGTGGCACAGCCCCTGGGTGTCTGCCTCAGCTCCCACTCTGCCTGGGAGCCAAGAGAACAAAGGGTCTCCCTCCACCTGGGGCAAAGTGTCCGCGTAAGGATGTGTCAAGGGCCGGAGCCCCGAAGGGACAGGGCATCACACGGGGCCAGCAGAGGAGGACTGCAGAGGCTGCGTTCAGGAATACTTAAACCCAGTCTGGCGCCGCCGCCAGAGCTGACAGCTGGGGGGCCTTGCCCAGAGTAGCCACTAGGTGGCAGGAAAGGCCCACAACTGGTCCAGCTCCACCCGCTTCCCCAGGCGGCACCCTACCCTCCAGCAGCCCCCCTTCTGCGGGAGGACCTGCCTGCACATCACTGCGGCCTCTGGCCTGCACTGACCAGAGTCCCGAAGTCTATTCATTCTCCTTTCTGCCTTTGGGACAACAAAAGGCTTTCAACCCTTCTCCAAATGACGATAATAATTAGTGTCCCCAGGACTATGGTGATGGTACAGGGGTGACTTGGTGATGGGAAACACATGGGGAATACAACGGAGATGAAATAAAAAAAAGTACAAATGATGTAAAAATAAACTATAATAATAATAATAATAATAATAATAATAATAATAATAATAATAATTAGTGTCCCTGTCTGTTTATTGAGTGCTTGCTGGCGAGTTACCAGGCTTGTTCATGCATTATCTCATTTATTTGCACGCAAGTTAAGTAAAAATACTCTCCCTCTTTCAAGAGGAGATAGTCTGAGAAAGCATAAATAGATTGGCCAAGATCACACGACTAGCTGGTCTCAAATGCTGGGGTGGGGGGTGCTCACAGGGGCATGTAGGTGCATGCAGGCGTGAGGAGGCCCAGGCCCCATCAGAGGCATCTGAGTTTTGTCCACCATCCCTACCGCCCCTTGAGATTCTAAGGGGGTGTGAGGTTCAAAAACCCCTGTCCCGGCTGAGCGGACTGCCCTGCCCTGCTCCTCCCCGAGTACTCAGCCAGGGCTCCCCTCTCTAGCCTTGCTTCCAGTGACTTTCCACTCCAAACCTGGCCCAGGCTGCACCCCTACTGACCACCTCCCCCTCCTGGCCTGGCTGTCTTTATTTTCAGCAAACTAGGGGCATCCCTTGGTATGCCAGCACTGCTACTTGTGGGGCAGGTCAGGGCAGATGAGCCAGACAGGACCCCCCCCCCCCGTCCTTTCTGCATGAAGTAGGAGTCTGGCATGTCTAACATTAGACCTACAGTCACTTTTGTAAGTTGTGTCTCATTCAAAGAAACAGCACTGTACGCAGACGAAAAGGGGCATCTATCTCTACTGCAGTTTTCTTCACCAACACCAGGGTATGGGGTGGGTGGCAGCTGCAGGGTGGGCCCCTGCCTGTCAACCTCTCACGCAGAGTGCGCTTGCCAGACTCTTTCGTTCTGTTGGGCCCTTCCAATCTGGCCCAAGCTCAGCTGTTACCTCCCCACACTTCTGTTTCTCTGCCAGTCCAAACCTGGCTGGCCTTGCCTCTTCTCCCATGGTCCTGGGATCTGCAGAATCACTAAATATGGGTTTCTCAGGAGGGGGTGGAGCCTGCTACCCCACAGGATGAGATGAGAAGCCTGGGATAAACAGGAGGGCAGGGAGCTGAGCTCTCTCTAAATGCAGGATTCCTGCCAAGGGAGAATTCAGCAGGGCCAGAGGATGGTTTGGTGCAACCTCTAGTCACTGGACAAAGCTTGCTGACTCTCCAACTGGCAGCATCCTCCCCCTGAAGGGAAGCAGTTCAGTCAGTTGATGCCTCTGGCACCAGGCAGAGGCCGTCCGTGGACCACCTTTGGCGCATCTTCAGTTCTGGCTTTATTGCCTGGGAGCTGATCTCACCCTTCCTCTTTTCCACCAGTAGAAAGACCAGTTGTATAGGTGAAAAAAGGGAGATATCTGAACTAGGACAGGGTGACTAGGGAGAGGTGTGTCGTCAAATCACAGCTTAAATGGGGACCAGAGATTAGGATAACATTGCAGCTAACATTCCTCTTGAAAATCAGTGGAGGGCAGTTGTTCCACAAGAGCCCAGGGCTCACCCAGCCAGGGCCTCTGGGCAGCTCTGTGTCTTCGGCTGTGCGCCAGATGAACAGGCACTCCTGAGATGCCCACTCTGAGAGGCTGGGGGAGCTAACACAGACAGCAAATCCATTTTCCATCTCATCCTCGACTGGGGGACAGACCTGGAGTGGAGGGGGCACGTTCCTGCACTGTAGTAATTTACCATGGGCTTGCAGCCGCTTAAGAGAGTCAAGTAAGCCAGCTCTGTGCGTGATGAAATGCTGCTGAAGTGGGTTGGAATAGACTGTGATGGAATAAAATTCACAGGGTGCATTTCAGGTTTGGGGAGTGAAGAGGGTAACAGGGGTAGTTTTATTTGGGGCTGTTCCCAAAAGAATGCCCTTTTTTCTCTGGGCCTATCACCCAAGTCAGAAAGAACTAGGACCAACCTTTCCTAACCCTCGATAATAGGAGCAACGCTACTTGAAAGGATGAACCCTGCCTCTACTTGAAGGGCACCCACCTATGGTGATGGCACACAGGCAAATTGGTGGTGGGAAGCCCACCAGGACTACAAATGAGATGAAAAAATGCACAAAATGAAGAATGATGTAAAAAAAAAAAAAAAAGGCACTTACACTCAGCTAATGGTGTTCAGCTTCCTTCTGAGTGACAGTGTCGAACAACGGCCAGCCGAGCATTTGAGAAATGCCAGTTAAACATTTTTCTTTAAAAAAAAAAAAAAAAATATATATATATAAATATATTTGCATGGAAGAACTGGGGTACAGGCTAGAGGTGTAGGGGTTGAGAGGATTCACCACCAGAGTGGGGAGCATAACAGGCTGAAATACACTGCTGAGGGGAGCAGCAGGCGAGACAAGAGAAGTCTGCTGCACCATGTGGGTCTAAACTCAGGCCACCACAGTGGGCCACTGAGGTGACAGCACTGAGACTTAACGCCTCCAGGGAGGCCCCCCATTTTCCTTGTAATGTTCTTTTCTCATAGCTTAGAGAGAGCACCTTCTCTTCCAAAATTGAAGCCAACTGTAGCCACGAGGTAGTGCTGCCACAGAAGGGCTATCAGAACCGGCATGAGCCTGCTTCACCTGCAGTGGACCTGTGATTTGTGAACGAGCAGGGTTCCAAGGCTCCCTATGAAAATGCTGCTTCCTGAGAGAGAACCAGGGTCTCATATCTCAGTTGCTTCCCACTGTGGAAAGAAATTACTCAAAACACCCCACAATGTGCCAAGGTGACACACTGGTCCTCTGAGTGGAGAATTTGAGAATGGGGAGGGAAAGTAAAAGATCTGAGGAGTTCTGAGTGCCCATAGTCATCAATTAGAGGAACATCCCTGGACTTTTTCTCTCCCTAGAGCTCAAAAAGGAATGAACAAGAAAGGCAGAAGGGACCAGGTGACACTAAACACCTTGCAGGCCCCCCTCTCTGGGAGGAGCCCTATACCTCTGCTCACCAGGCAGAAGCACTCGGTATCCCCACAAAACTCTCCTGTACTTCCTGGAAGGAGAAAACAGCACTGAGCAAACCATCAGTCTCCGGGGATTTTTCAACGGGAATTTTTTTTGACAAGGTCAGGTCTGGATGTGCTCTCGTTAGCTGACATCACAGGGGTTCCCAGGAGTGGATCATCTGATCCTACTGGGGTGAGGGGAGGGGAGCAGTCACAAGTTGGAAAAGGGATTTAAAAGCACAAATCCAAGTAACATGAGATAATTTCTAAACATTTTTATTTCAAATCTCTTCAACCCTCCCCAAAAAGACATGGGTCAGTACAGCAATCATAAAAAGGAGATACAAACACAAGAGTCAAATGTCTCCCGCACCGACACTTACAAAAAACCGGAAATTGTACATGGGGTTTCCCAACAGGACCTGCAGCAGCTACTAACGTCCCTTTACAAGAGTCAAACATGCCTATTAATACAGTATATACAGACACCCCATTCTGGACTAATCTACAAGGACATCCCAACACCCACCCTCTAGCCCCAGAAAAATACCAAAACACACCCAAAGTGCATTTGTTTTGTATATATCAAAACATCTTTTCCTTTTCCCACCCCACCCTCAAACCCTCCCACCCCATTTAAGATTGGCCTGCAAGTCTATTTTAACCATTTAGTAATTTTTTATAGTTTATGAAAATAAATTATACAGCAACTATTTTAATAAATTAAGCACAAAAAGGGAGAGTTGAGGAGAAAAACTAAATGGGAAGACAAAAGCCAGGCCACGCTTTGGCTTGGAGGAGGGCCAGGGTGCTAGGCGACAGCAGTGGCTGCAGGGGTGTGTGGCTCCCCTTCTGGTAAAGAATTAGCCACCACCAGAGCCCAGAACGACACCCCACTTTGTTGAGTTTCTTGCAAGAAAAAAAAAAAAAAAGTACAGCAGTGGCTGTGCCACAGGCAGCACCAATTTGGGCGTCCCAGAAGCCGGCTGCCCACAGAGTGTGCCTGGGTTATGCTTGTCCCTCAGAAAGGTTCTGGGCCTAGCAGAGCGGGGCAGGTCCCTATGCAAGGGAGCACCACGGAGGAGTAGTCAGACCAGCCTGCCCGGCCCAGCTGGGGCTGGCGCTCAGGCGGGGTGGGCCGCGGCTCTGAGCGGGGCTGTGCAGTCTATGATCAGCCTGGTTTCCTACCAGAGTGTCCTAAGTTATCCTGACACTCTAGCTCCAGGAGCAACTACGATCGCAGTCCAGCTGCAACCAGAATCATGTCTTCCCGCTGTGGCTGGTTGCTTTTGGCCTGCCCCTGATGCCTCCTGGCACGGCGGAGGGAGGGATGGCAGAGGTAAGGGAGCAGTCCCCCAAGTGATGAAATGGGTGTGAAGGCATGTCACAGACTCAGCATGCAGGGCTGGCTTCCTGGGAGGCAGATGGGAAGGGGATGGAAGGGGCGGTGGGGTGGAGGGGGCAGGAAGGGGTACAGGAAGAAACTGAACGGCACCTACCAGGAAGGTCAAGAAGCCATGAAAAGGACAAGGACAATATGGAATCTGCACGTAGAGAAAGGCCTCTCCCTGGCAGGTTAGAGTCAGTATTTGAAATACAGCTCATTCCTCGATGTTTCTAACTGCAGCACCTGAGTCCCCAGTGCCTCTCTGTGGTCCACCCCCACCTCACTCCTCCAGGACTCCGTTCTCCACCTCCTCAAGGCCTCCTGTCATTTTGTGCTGAGCACAAGGGCTCCCATGTCAAAACAGGACAGGGTCACAGGGCCTGGCAGACTTCTTCAACTCTGTGGCCCAATAAGCCTACAGCTAGCATGGTGGTGGGGATTGGGGATTCACACTTTTTTTTTTTTCTTTTTCTTTTTTAATAAAAAAGGTTTTACTCCCCAGGAGCAAATAAATCATTTTGAACTACTGATAAACACTGCTGCAGTGAAAAGAAAGATGGCTACATGTATGCAATAGCACAAATTCAGTGTAAGAACAGCTGTGTTGACAATTAGAGATAAAAGTCATTTATCCACTCCCCCCTTTCCCACAAACCAGACCAAGAGGATTCCCATAGGGAAAATGTCTAATGCAAAAGCTCCTCCCTTAGGGACAGGGGGCATGTCATCTTCTTAAAAAGTGGAAAACAAATGTCAGGTCTCCCCCCAGTGGAGATGCTCTCAACACCCCAGTGGTGGCAAGACTTCTGTAAGTGAAGACACGCACACACGCGCACACACACACACAGACTTCCCGACCTCCTTTCGGCAGCCCTGTAGGGCTCTACCCCAGCGCCTACTCCTCCAGCCTAGGGGCTCAAGGTCAAGGCAGAGGCAGACGGGCAGGGAAGGACTAACCTGATGGCACCCCGGGGCTCTGGCTCTACTTCTGCCTCGGATCTAAGACAACCAGCCCCCCACCCTCACCCTCGGACTCCCTAGCTCCTCCTGGATGTGCACTGAAGGGGACCTGCAGCTAGCTCACAACACTCCCAACCCAACCGAGGCTGACACACAGCCCAAGTAGAAGTGAGAGAGGAGAAGAAACCACGGAGGTGAGCTCCCTGACAGGTCTCTCAGGTGCTCCAGTCCACAGCCCATTCTCAGGTGTTATGTTCACTCTGTCTAGGCAACAGCAGGCCACCAGGCCCGTGTCCTCACCAGTGGCCCAAACTCCTGGCTGTCACCCACTTATCCACTGATCCTGTGCCTCTGTGACAGCTCACATTTCTAGCCATGGCAAGTTGTAGCAGTAGCTGTCCTCAGCTCACAGTGGTTCACGCCCGTCCTGAGGAACCTTACAGTAGATCAATCACAAACAAGTGTGCGGCCAGAGGGTACTGACATCACTCACCCACTACTTCGAACTGATGATGGGGTGCTAGAAGTGAGGATGTTCTCCAGTTTGTGACAGTTAAAATACAACAAACAAAAGGAGCGAGTCTCTTCAGTGGAGTGCACTTCACTCAGCACCACCCAGACTGCAGGGCAGGTGCCGCCAGTGCAGACAATGGCCGATCAGCTGGTTCCGTGCCCTCCCTGTTTACCCCAGCCAGGCGGCCTCTCAGGCAACTGTCCCATCTTCCTACCCCTTCCTCCACCTCTCCTCATGGAGCCTGCCTGCTCATACCTAGGCCATGCCTTGTAGCCACTCCACCAAGGAGGAACTAGGGCCCAGTCTGGGCTGTGACTAAAATACCGATTATGGACACAGATGAACACTACCCTTCCCAGAAGAGAATGAAGGACAGTGGTGATCACGGTGGTCACATCTCCTTAGCTAGCTTGGTTTGGTACTTGATTTCTCTGAATAAAGAACGCCACAGCAGGGACAGAGGTTCTGCCGTCCTCACACAGGCTATGTTGAGAGCAGTGAGGGCCGTGGCCATGGCAGAAGCCTGGCTGGCTTTGGGCTCCATTTCAACACTATTCCCCTCAGCATTCAGACTTGCCCGATGACAGGAAGTTCTGGGCTTGACCATAGCACTGGAAAGGATTCTTTGCTGTTGCTGCTCTAACCTGGGGCTGCGTGCACACTGTTCAGAACACGGCATGCAGATTTTGGCTCCCATGCTTTTAATGCATGTTACTCACCTCCATCCAGCCCCCACCTATGATCCGAAGCTTCATACCACAGAGACCAGCTGTGGTTTACCCTGAGACCATATCCACTCTGAATATCTTCAAAGACATCCCTAGTTTCTCTCTGCTACACAGAGCCATTCTCCAATTGCTTAATCTGTGGCACTCACCTAGAAGCTCCCTTACACCAAATAGCACATCTTATACCTCTTATGTTTTCCACAATATGGAGCTCAGAGCCAGGCAATCACATGCTAAAACATAATTTTAAAATTATGGGTGGCTGATGGTTAAAAATAACTTAAAAAAAAAATATCCTAGCCAGCTGCATATCAGCCAGTTGAAGCTACCACTGAATTCCAGACGACAGGCTCTCCATGACAGTGGAGGAAACTTCCTGCAAGATGGAAAGTTAATCTGTACGCTCAAGAGGCAAGATTCACAGGTTAAATCAAGCTCTGGGGTCACAATATTAACTGGCCAGTAATACCACCAGGAGCCAAGGAGAGAAGAGGTACTTCACAGCAAATCAGTGGCCTATGTTTATGCCACAAAGTTCATTCTGTGGGCCAGTTCTTTTATAGCCAGGAAACTGCAAGTTTCCTCCCTGCTCAGTTACAGGGAGGAAGACTCACCATTCGATGTGGGACACAGGCAGAAGGCCAATGTTTCCAGAAGGTGCAGTCCTATAAATTACTGAGACACTGAGGCTTCACCTAAAGCAGCAGGAAACCACCAATCTGCTATTTGATCTCATGAGATGAGGCAGATATAAACATAAAGGAACCAAAAGAGGCAGCCTCGCAGAGGACTTAATGCAAAATAATAATAAAGACCAAATAGTTCAATTTTCACATCCTATTAGCAAATCTCTTCCCAGAGTAACTCTACGAAAGGCAAACTCATAGCATTATATTACTTGACAGTGGCTACCTTCAGGGAAAAATCAGACTGTTGAAAAGCACTCAGATTTTTCTCTCTCCTCTTCCACTTCCACCTGGAAGACAGGCAACTGTCAAATCAGCATATGACAGACTTTCCAATGAATGGAGGGCAAACAGGGTCTGACTCAGGAAAATGTCTGGGTTGCTAGAAAGAACACACAGAGGAAAGATACTCTTGCTTGCTACCCCCATCCCAGAAGTGGGACGACAGCAAGAGCTGGAGATATATGAGATGTGATGTGATGTTCTCCTCCTCTGTCATCTCAGGAGATCCCATTACAGCTGAGATACTGGGGAGCTTTCTCTGGGAAGAGCACAATTACAACTGCTTCTTTTCTCACCTTCCTCCACATTCCCTCTCACTAGCTGACAGACATATGGAGGCAAATAACACTGACATCTAAGTCATGGGTACAGTTTACCATTCAGAATCTGGAAGCATGCTCCATTAATTTCAGCAGCCCATGACTGGAGTGCTGAACTGCTCAGGTGACGAGAGAAGCTACTGCCTTGACAGCTGGTGGAAGCAATAGGAATGATGTTACCATGACCAGAGTGAAATGTACAGTTATCCCAGGGAAAGGATGGAGGGTGGAGGAGGAACAGGGCTAACTTGAGGTCACGGAGCTTAAGAATTCAGTAAAACTAATTATGAGAGGTGATTCTGCAATCAGATCCCTAAAACCCTAAAAGGAAAGGATGGGAGGAGTTACGACTGAGGCCATTTGCCAATTTTTACCAGCAATATTCTACTGGAGACCACAGACCCTCCTTACTTTTCTGCTCCTACTAAAGCTACCCAACTTGATATGCACTTCTGATTCCTTCTCTTTTCTTCTTCAAGGTCAATGGTAAAGACTAGCACACTGCCTTTGGCACCAGATAAATAACTGTCATAGGCAACCCCCTCTCCTCCCCCCTCCCCTTTAGACCCTCACCCATTGCACCACTTCCAACATGATGGGCCAAACCTCAGCTGCCTTTAAGGTGAGTTTTCCATACCGAAAATTCTAAATCTCCAAAACAAAACTTCTGAGAAAGGAACAGTGTTGAGACTTCTTCCAGTTTTCTAAGGAGCTCATCCAGTCCCTGGACAGCACCGGGGCGATGTGAAAGGTGGAGCCCCGCTTGGAGTATACAGTTGTGTGCTTCTTCTAAGCCCCAGGGTTGTAAAGAAAGCCAAAGTCCTTGCAGAGAGGATCCCAACCCTTCCTATTTCCTCTTGTTTTTTTCTCACTCCTCTTTCCATGGTAGCTTTACTTGGTTCTTCAAACTGGAGCTTGGCAACCAAATGCCTAGGTAAGGAAGAAAGAGCAAGAGTATTTCAACAGGGCAGAACCAAAATGGAGTGTCCAACAGCCTGGTCTCTGAAGTAGAGAAATACAACTAAGAGAGGAGGGCTCGCTAGTCAAATGCTCCCACAACACTGACCCAACTAGAGTGGAGCAGTGGTCTGAGTAGCCTGACTTAGGTGTCATAAAAAGGTCCTAAAATAATCAACAAATGTATCCTACCATTTTTCCTAACTTCTCTTCCACTTTATCTTATCCCTTAATTTTCCACCCATTTTTCCACCTCCTGAGACACACCAGCTATAAGGAATAAAGAGGGACGAGTCTCAGGAGCTATCCCTGGTCACCAATAGCTATAGAAGTCTCAGCTTCTGGCCTTAGAGAAGGCTGACGAAGGCCAGTCAGCATGGCCTCCCCGTTAGAGGCACTCTCTGCCACTCTGCACCTGTACTGGCCGGGACCTGTACGAGAACTCCAGGTAACAGCAGGCCCAGAATAAGTGATCCAATAAAAACAGTCTGGCCAACATGTCATTTCACACAGTAAAGGCCATTTCCTGTGGAAGTATTGGGCCCCTTTTTCAAGGGGTCCTACATCTCCATCAGAAGTAGTACAGCATGATGCTTATTCTCTGCTTTAGGCAATAGTCCCATATTCCAGCAGAGAGACCCTGGGAACTCAGTTCAACCCACCGCCAATACCTAAGAGCCCCGCACTCAGGACTAATGGCTGCCCCCACCTTGTGCCTGATCATATCAGGTCCCTTCCCATCTCAGGGGCTTTATAAGAACCCTTGCTCAGAATGTTTTCTTGTTGACTCTTTAATATTCAGATCTCAGCTAAAATTTCACCTCCTCACACAATCCTCCTTTGATCATTCAAACTTGAGTAGTATCCCACCACTAATCAGCAACTTTATTTTTCTCATAATGTGTATAGTCAACTGAAGTTAGTCTTGTCATTTATTTAAATGTTTGCTGTTTGTCTCTCCCTGAGAACTACAATTTAGTGAACAGAGCCTTTGACTATCTTGCTCAGAAGTCTATTCCCAAATCACTCTGGGTATGTAACAAGTGTATAGATAGTTTGCTGAATAAACAAATGTGGCACTCCAAATAAACAAATGGAAAACCATTTCATTTTTGGATCTGTGAAAAAGGGCATCCTAAAGTTGGACCCAACTCTAACACTTCATACTTACACCCTTAGAAGTCCTTGTGCTGCTTGCTGGAACCACACACAGTAAGTTTAATCACTCTTAGGAAAATCGATCAAGCATTTCTTTTGGTTGTCAAATCCTTCTCATCCATAATATTAACCATGTGTTCTAAAGAGGATAAAATTTGGAGTCCTCCATGATCCTGACCTTTCTTGGGATGTGTTCCTATTATGAGGGCTCCTCACAGGATACAGTACCCACAGCAGCATTCTCTACGTGAAGGGCCCTAATTACTTCTCAAGGGTATGGCAGAATAGATGAACCTCCCTAGTTCCTTCTAACTTCCCACACTAATCTAAAATGTAAAACCACCAAGCAGAAAAATCCTCCTAAACATTAGGGCATTTAGATCTTTTAGAAGTTACTTCCCAAGTATACAATTTGCTTTAAACTAAAGATATGATAAGAAATTATACATCCAGGATCCTCAAAGTTAAAACTCCACAACCTCCCAAAGTTACATTTCTTGATTTCCTCATTCCCTCTCCCCTTGTTAATCCTTCTCGCAGGCTCATAACCTTCCACCAATAGCACAGAATAAGGGAATTCCAGAGTCGAGAGGCAACACACTGCTGGGTTCACCTCAGCCATGGCCCAGGAAGACCAGGGGACGTAAACACCAGCTGCCGTTCTCTCCCATTATGAAGAGTTTAGAGAAGGTTAGAGATAAAGCCTCCATGGAATTCTAAAGCCAATGTTACTGTGGGTCTCTGGCCCCTGCCAATTTGCTCTGTGTGGGAGATGGGGCTGGAGAACAGCGAAGGGTAGAAACCTATGCTTAAAAGAAACCTTTACACACTGAGAGCAAAGATAGTCAAGGCACCTGGCACTCGCCCACCAGGAAGTGAGATCTTGCATGTGATAAATGCCACACTGCCAGGATCACAATTCTGGCACAATTCTGGTTCCCTACTCACCTCTACCTCTTGTTCACATCAACCAAATTACAATTCATCTGCACAAACCATTATTTCAAGGTATTTTATGGGAAAAGAAGTGCCTCCTAGATTAAGTTCCTTCATTTGTTTATTCTTTTCAGTGACCCAAATGGATCTAAGCAGAGGACTGAGTGTCCTATAGCACTGCATTCTAAGTTGTGGGGTAGGTGGAGCTCTCAGTGTGCACACACGCTGCATTTCAAGGTATGTTTGCATTCCCTTGGATGAAGTTTTTTCCCCTTTTGATGTCCTGCTTTATATCATCCGTGCAATATCAAGGTCAGCCATAGTATGAGGAGCCTGCACACTTAACTATATATACTTGGTGTCCTCCTCCTTACTTACATTCAGTGATTAGCTTGCACACTGCTTAATGTTCTTCGAGTGTCTTCTCATGTCTATCTGTTCTTTTCCCAGTTGGGGTACATGCCCTTTAAGTACTTCATGCCCAGATCTGGTAACTCTATTCATAGATATTAGATCAAGGGTTGGGAAGGGGGAACTAGACACAGCGATGACAACTACCAGGAAGACAACTGGCTGAACAATGAGGCAGAGTTCATACCCTTGGTGGTGACCAGCAGGGGCCCCTTGCTACGTGGAGGGCTCTACCTCTTGCTTCTGTTTAGAAATGAGCTGAGCTTCCTTTAGAGACAGGTACACCTCTTCCTGAGGATCATAGTAGTAGAACTTTCGAATATAAGAGATCAGAGGTCTGTGAAAAGCACAAGAGAGATACAGTGTTATTTATATAGAATTTTTTAAAAGAAAGATCCCCTTTATGCAACACTTTCCTCTTCAATTCCTACATGTTAAGACTACACCACTATCTAACAAGCAAATAAAACCCCCATTTTCTCCCTTTGCCACTCTTCAGAGAAACTGAAGGGTGGGGTGCGTGTGCACACACACACATACACACACACCCCTCCCCCTTCCTTCTTGGCTTCAATGTGACAATTCTAGAATCAGTTGCCAAGACAAAGGAGAAGTAAAAGGATAATGCCAATGAATATAGCCAGATTCTGCCTGTGCATTCAGCTTACAGGCCTCGCTAGCACTTGTAACTAACCTCCCTCCTGTCCCAACCCAATCGACCCCCTTTTACTTAGGCAGTGGGAGATCTGGGATGTGATCTATCCGGACAAGCTGTCGGATTCGGAATCTGCAGAGGTGCTGGAGGGATTTGACATTGCTGAATCTGGACACTGGATAGAGTAGCTGGACTGGAGTTGGTGGCAGTCCTTCGAAAAAAACCAAGAGAAATATTCAGATGGAACAACACAGTTAACTACAATTTCTCTCATGAAAAGAATTCAGGGAGGGAAACTCCTTACTAGTTCAAGTGATGTGTTCTGCAGGAGCTCCCTTCCACACAGGACTACTGACCTCCATGTGCAGGAGCACCTCTACCACATCTCACACGCAAGGAAACCTACTCTCCCCTGCAGAGGGCCTTCCTAATGTCACTCCTAACAGCTGAGAGTTGGGCTCTTCAGAAGAGCCCAGTGAAAAAAATGCCACACTGGAGACTTCGCTTGGAATCAAGTGGCCAATCCTAGTCCGAAGATGCTTGGCAAAGGGCAAGAGCCCAAAGCATCCCTGTTGGGAACAGGAAGGGCTTTCTCAGCACATCTAGGCAGTATCTCGAGGGTGAGGACTCAGGAAGGATATTCTGAGGGATCCTGATCAAATTCCATCTGAGAGGCTGGTAAGGAGAAGGCAACAGTTGGGCTCAAAGTTTATAAGCCTATCTCTCCTGTCATTTACTTCCAATCAGAAAAATACGATTAAATCACCTCTTATTTCCTCCTCCTACCAAGACCCTTCAAATTTTAGGCTGGACACAGGAACATAAAGACAAGAAGATGATGTTCTTAAAAGAAAAGCTGTATGTTGCTTAGGCAAGCTGGCATTGGTATTACACCTAGTGGTTGATACCATCCAGGCCTGATGAGAGCCCCAGCCCCTCAAATTTCATCAGTATCAGCAGGCTCTGTGCTAGGAAATTCCACTTCCTAACTCCCAAGACCAGTGCCACCGAATGGAGACACCAGGGTGGCAGAAACACTGAAATAGTTTGTTCAAGGAACAAAGAATATTATGGCTTCAATGATCAAAGGGACTATGAAAGATAAACAAGCAAATTGTTCTCCGAAAGAATCTGAGTAGCAAAATCCTTGAAAGAATTATTTTCTGTCATTATCATAGGGAAAGAAACTCTGTACACAAAACTTGTTGGAAAATGAAGTCTCTACTGTTTTTTTTTGGAGTTTAATTTCAGTTTTTAAATTGTGTTTAAAGGTTTGAGAAGAAAAGTCTAAATTTACGGATTACCTCCTGAAGACCTTTCAGGACAACTAAGTTTCTAAAAACAAGTTTTCTAAACTTGTTTTAGAAAACAAGTTTTCTAAAAACAAAAAAGTAGACATACAGATTATATTGTTACTAAACTAAAACTCAAAAATATTTAACTCATTTAGTTCAAAACTATACTCTTAAGATAATATTATTATCCCCACTACACATGAAAAAGCTGAAGCCTTTAAGGTTTTGGGGGCTTGGGCACAGATCCAACAAAGCTGGCCTGCCTGGGACACCTGCTCTGTCTAAAGAAGAGGTTAGGGGCCTCCCTGGTGGTCAGTGGGTTAAACCGCAGCACTGAGAAGCTCGCACAGCAGCTTCAATGTGAGTTCGATCTCTGGCCAGGGAGGGGACCCACATGGCGTGGCCTGTACCCCAGGTCTGTATACATAAATAACTCTTTAAAAAGAAAGAAAGAAGAGGTTAGCTCCAGGAATCTTTCCAGGGGAGTCTCCTGGCTTCTCCCCAGAGCACCACCCTCGCAGTGTGACAGAGGGAGTGCCCTGGCATCAAGTCATAGCACCTTGATTCTTGAGCAGCCTCTTCTCACTCCCACCCCTTCAAGCCTATGTGATTCCTTCCACATAAAAAAGAGAAAAGAAAAGAATTCACACATGGATTTCCCTCTTCAATTTAAACTTAAGTGGTTTTAAAAATGATTTGAGGTTCAAGTGACTGAACTTAATTCTTTCATTTGTTTGTAAATTTTTCTTTAGTAAGTTAAGCTATGGCAACAAAGTTTTTTGGAAGAAGGTTGTAATATTGCTAAATTCAAAATGATGTTTGAGAGATAAAAGTTAATTTATGTAGGCCCTCCCTGGTGGCGCAGCGGGTTAAAGCCACTTCCGCATGAGTTCGATCCCTGCCGGCCTTGGAGGTGACCCACATCGCAAGGCAGACCTCTCCTGCTCCCCTCAGCAGTGTACTTCATCGGTCTGCCTGTTCTGCTCCCCACTCTGTCTCTGGTGAAGACTCTCATCCTCCGTATCTCTGGCCTGTACCCCAGTTCTGTATGACTAAATAAATAAATCTTTTAAAAAAAAAGTAATTTATGTATCTGATAATTATTTATTCCCAAAGACATAGTACTAGAGGACTTGTGTTTAAAGGAATCAGGATAATAGCATACAATTATCCAACTGCTTGCCTTCTTGGCCATCTGACCTATTGAAGCGAGTTGCTTTTAGCCTTAAGTTTGCAAACAGCTATCTGAAACCTGCCCATATACTGTTTGTCCCAAACACAGCAAGTGACTGAAGTTCTCGCATCCAGGTGGTGTTAGCAGAAAGGGATTAGAAAAGGAAATCAATCCAAGACACCAGTGCAGCCTATGGGAAAGGACAAGGTACTATGTTGATCATCATAAACTTTCCTCTGGTCCTCATGCTGGGGTCCTGGACATAAATTCAGTTTTTAACCAGTATTTTCTCTTCCCCAAACAAGGACCAGGTTAGAGGTCACAAACCTCCCAAGTCTGAGAACTGGGGCACACAGTTCTTTGTGGTCCCTGAAGACCAGAATTACCCAGCTCAAAATATCAGTAGTGCTGACTGGAGAAACCCTGTGATAAGGGAAAGCCACGTCACCAAAATAAAGTAATTACAAGCTTAACAGTAGTTACAACAGAGGAAGTGGCCAATTTCCTTAGAGTTGTCCAGTTCAAAGTAAGATTAAAACAAAGTTGTTTTTTTTTTTTCTCATACATATCACAGATATGGGAATTTCCCAATTAAGAAGGACATGTTCGCTTTGAACTCTGGCTCTGATAGTACTTTGTGCTAAGCCAATCATATTCTCTTTACGACTACTGGCTGGTGTTAGGGATTTGATTTATAAATGTGAAATGGACCAGAGCGAGATAGAATCAGTGACCTTAGATGTATTATGACCACGCTCCAATACTATAAGAAGAGATAAGGAGAGAACCAAACTCAAGTGCTATCATTCTTACCAAGAGTCCCTACTCTAGATGCCAATTATTCCATTTATTCTAATTAATTTCCTTCTGCTTCTGATTTGCTACCATTCAGAACTTTCTCATTAGTCAGAGCTTTACGGTTCCTGTGTTCACTGGTATTCCTTTAACACCACTCTGAATGGCCTATTACTATATCTAGCAATAGATTTGAGTGAAAAAAAAAAAAACCTGACTTTGCATCCTTGGCTCAGCAGCTCACTGCACCTCAGCTTCTAGTCCGTATTTAAAAGAAAAGAGTGTAATATCGCTTCAAAGGATTTTTAAGTGTTAATGAAGTAGTACCTGGTGCCTTATGGGCATTAAGGTATCACCAATCCAAAGTCTGAGCAGGTCTTTGAGAATTTACTGAGTTAGAATACCTGGGTGGTGAAGGCTGATAAAGTACAATCTAAATGCTAATGACTACCTCCTTCCTCATGCCAATAAAGTCAACCTCATCTAATGCCTAGGCCGTTATGATAAACAAAGAGGGCAACAAAGTAAAGAACACTGGCTTTGCCTTCTTAGTTCCAGCCCTTCAAAGAGAGGTTACTTATGGTCTAGGACAAATAATAACTCTGCTTTGGTTTTTCAACTTGATTACAATTTTAAATGCAAATATGTATCCTACCTGTACCTGTCACATTCATCAAAGTTCCCAGAAAGAAACCCTCCACTAATAAACACAATTTATCTTCTTTATGTAAGATCCACAAATCCCAGCAAATTCAATTTTTAATATGCTTATTGCTACTTTTCCCATTACAGACTGGTGGTAAATAAAGAACAGGATTTCAAGTTAGTTAGGTTTTGGCTTGAATCCTGGTTTCATCAACAGAAGGGCCCTTTATTGAGTAAGAAACTTTACTTTTGAGTCTCAGCTTCAGTCTCCTCACTGGCAAAATGAAAACCGTACATCTGTTTTTTTTTTTTTAATAGTCCTTCCTATCTATTATGTAACTTTGGGGCTGCAATGAGAAATTTAAATAAAGAACCTGACAAAGAATCTGGCAAATGATAGGCTCTCAATAAATTGTAGCAATTACTTATTGAGAACCTTAGTTAAAATTACTGCAGACAGGGCACATTTAGCTACACCTAAAGAGCCCAAGATTCTCTCAAAACTCTACAACAGAATACATATTTCAGACTCCCCTGCAATTTCCCTGGCTTGCTCTCAGAGCTGACTCCCCTACCCTTGCTGACCTCTGCCATTCTATAGCTCTTGCCTTTATCCTCAATGTGTCCCCTCTTTGAAGCTATGAGCATACTGAGGACAGAGATTGATTTACTTTTGAAAAATGTTTGTTAATAGCATTTAACATAATAATAAATAGCTGTCTCAAAAAAGTCATGAACTTTAAAAATTGCTAAGCAGAATGAATCCTGTGAGATTTTAACTCTCCCCTTTAACCAAGTCAACTGCATGAGACCCAAGTGTGCTGATAGCATTGAAGCAAATACTAAAATGAAATAAAAATTAATACCGTTTGCACCCTGTCGTCCCTTATTTAAATCACCAAGATTATAAAACGCATTTCTGTAACCTGGCTCAATCCTGTTACTGACATTGTGCCTAAGGCTTCCCTGCAATGTCATTTTTAGAGCAAGTGCTTAACATCCTATTAAGAATCTTTTTTTTTTTTAAAGATTTATTTATTTACTCATATAGAACTGGGGTACAGCCAGAGATGTGGAAGGTGAGAGGATTCATCAGAGACGGAATGGGGAGCAGAACAGGCAGATCGATGAAGTACACTGCTGAGGGGAGCAGCAGGCGGGTCAGGAGAGGTTCGCCACACCACGTGGATCTCCTCCAGGGCAGGCAGGGATACTAATACAGAAGTGGCTTAAGCTTCTTAGTGCTGTGCTTTAACCCGTTGCGCACCAGGTAGGGCCCCTATTAAGAATCTTAATTTGATTCAATGGGAAAGCATGGAGTTCTCATTTTAAGTTGTTTGTATCTTACAAATTCTTCAATTAGGGGCCTTCCTGCTAGTGCAAGGGGTTAGTCTCAGCACTATGAAGCAATCTGCAGCCACTGCAGCCTGAGTTCCATGCCCAGCCAGGGAGCTGACCCACATGGCGCAGCAGCCCTCTCTTGTCTCTCCCACTGCTCCCCTCAGCAGTGGATTTCAGTGGCTCCACCTCTTCTGCTCCTCACTATCTCTGATGAATCCTCTCAACCCTACCACACCTCAGGCCCACACGCAGCTCTTACATGCATAAATAAACCTTAAAAAAATTTTTCCATTAATATGCTTATCATTTTGCCTTTGCCAACATTAAATGTGGATTTCTCCACATTGTCCCTTTTTATCCCCTTAACAGACAATATATAGACATACCCCTAAGTAGTGGGCAGGAAAACTATCTAACCACAGTAAAAAGGGTGCTGTGCTCCCAAACAGAAAGAAGGCTTTGTAGTCAACACTGACAGGGATACAAGACACAACAAAAAGCACTTAGTCTTTATTGGTTTAGTATGAAACAGACAAAAGCCACAGCAGATTGCTGTTGAATTCAGCATCCTTGACACTCACCGCTGCCCTCCTAGTGAGCAACCTTTTACTTTTCCTGTGCCTGTGGAATAACCTAAGAGCATTAACCTCTCTGTTTCAATGTGAGCATGAGATACATGGATCAGGAAAAAGAAGATGAACTTGAACAATATTCACATGATGCCTAGATATCAAAGGCAAGACCAGTTTTTTCATTCATGTGGTCAATGAAGAAAATCTTTCTTCTCAGAAAGGTGAAAGATTAATGTACACAGGTAGGGGATTAACAATTAGACGCTGGGAGGAGTCACTGCCTAAGTCAGGAAGAAAAGCCTCAAGTAAATGTGGCTTTGAGGTTGGGGAGTAGAGGGAGGACCCAGTTTGATACTATACTGGATACACCCAATACTACAGCCTTACCTGGAACCCTGGATCTCAAGAAATAGAGAAACTTTCCATTCTTGGAGTGCATGATGGCTCTCTTAATGAATTCCACCACTGACTGACAACGATCCTCAAATTTAGGATGACACCACAGGCTGAAGGTTCCTGCCATGGAAAATTAAGGAGAGGTCAAAATGTAAAACCTATATATGGGAAGCTGGTTTGAACATTTTAATGGTTCTTACTTTGGGGAGGCTGGTTTGTGGGCAAGTTTAGTCAGACAAAGGTCTCTGAAGCTACCTGTTCCTGCTTGTTCCACAAGTAATGGAAAGAAAGATGTTGCCTTTAATAAGACATAAATTAGGTCTCATAAGGCTTTTGTTAATAATAAGTCAGAAAAATATATGAAAAGATTTTATCAAGTATGAACACTAACCCTTAAGTCATAGACCATTTAAGACTACCATAACAAAAGCAAGTTTAAATGACATCCCGTCAGGAAGATGGAAGCCCGCTAGTATTTGTGGGATAGTAGAGAAAGCAGGATGCTATTCCATAGCCCCAGTCATTCACATGTATGTTAGGCACAAAAAATATCTAATTCTAACTTCCATGCCCCACATAACACAATGATCTCAACCCAAGTTATAGACTCCCACAGTCAAAAGGGAATCTTAACTTCCATGACTTAAAAAAAAAAAAAAAAAAGGCCAAAGAATCATCCACAAAAAAGATATGAGTTAGTCAAGAGAAATGAAGATTTGCATCTCTTTGGCTACTCTTATAGTATCACTATGAAGATGAAGACAAATGTTCCACTGCAGACTGGCAACTGAAAGAGCTACAAGGCTTCTATTAAAAATTTCACTTATCCAAGGAAGAAAAGTCCCTTTGAACAAAAAGTAATCAGAAAACCATTTGAAAAAGCACTTTCATTCCTGGCATCTCATCTAACCTATCGGGAACTTAGAGATCAAGCATTTATTCATCATTCCCATGACCTAGTCATTTATCATCTTAATAGGTTTATAAAAATACTTCACTCTGAAATACTTTGTTATTTGCTTGATTTTTGCTTTTAGGAATAGCAGGAAAATAGGCAACAGTCTTGAGATTTACCTAATTAATTCTTCAATCTTTGGAAGTTCCTTTCTTTTCATGCATCTCTAAGACAAAGGTAGGGGCAGAGGAAACCAGGGACAAAGCTCTGTTGACCTAAACAGCTACCTCTTGCCTCACAATAAAAGCAAACCAGTTAAGTCCAGCAGACCATGGTTGAGAACAGAAAACAAGTGGTGGTGTCTGAGAAAAGCATGAAAGAGACTCTTGAGCTGCTATGTCTAATGTAGTTCACTTACACTTGAACACAAGTAGGGAGAGTGGGAAGGGGTGGGAGGGGCAAACTCCCAAAGTTCTCGACATCTTTTCACTTGAAGTATAGGAGGTATTTTGGAAAAGGATGGTTACCCAGCACAACTACCAATGAGCATCCCAAGCTTTTGGTCCATGTCACACACTGAACGTCTCAACGTAAAGTTAGTCCAGACAGCAGTGTTTAACAAAGTAGTTTCTAGGGCCCTCCTCTCCTCACTACTCCTGCCAATACTTGCAGTGACTGAAACCAATGCCCAACATTCAGCTGAGTCTATGAGCTCTTCTCCCCCAACTAAGTTCCATTTCTATGAATCCTTCCTCCAAAAGTCAGACAGCAAAGGCAGAGAAAGGCAGTGGGGAGTAGGATTTTCTTTTGATACCAGTACCTCTTACCTCTGTAGTGTTCCATTCTAGTGTGGTGGGTGATACCCTGTGATCGGAAACTGAGGCTCAGGATGTAACGAGGATCAGAGCTGTCCCGTACCAGGAAAGAACCATCTGGCTTCCCTTTTAGCTTCATCTCTGCATCTTCCCAATTCATTGGCCCCCAATACCAACCACACTATCAACAACAATTGGTGTTTAGTTCACAGAATAGAGAAATGTCAAAGTTCCTAACATTATCTTACCACAAGAGCACCCCTTTTTCCCCATTCTCCAAAACATTTCAATAGGTTAAAAGCTGCAAAGAGTGTCTCAATTGGTGAACATAAAGTTTATTATATATTTTAGCTCTCCAAAGTTAACAGACGAATAATACAATTTCATTAGCAAGACCCTACAAAGAAGAGATGATGGACTGAGTCAATTTATCTGTCAAAATCAGCTTAGGTGATGTAAATGTTTCTCTACAACCTTCATCACATTCAATTTTTTCCCAATACTGAGTTTTACAATATCCCTTAAGGAATTAATAATAGTAGCATACTGTTTGGCTCTGTAAAGAGGCACAGGTTTCCTCTGTAAATAAAAGAAAGCCCAGTATGGAACTGGGGGGGAGGGGGCGGGGGGGCAATTGCCAGTTCTTAGGTATACCTACCTTCTCCAACTCTCGAAGGCTGGCTGCAAAGCTGCTTGAGTCAGGCCGGTAAAGGGGACACTGGAGGTGTTGGGGGGGCTGGCTATGCAGGGATTCAGCTGCTCGGATAGGAGTAATCCGGGGAAATGCATCTGTAGGGTGAGAGAATGGTGGTCATCTGCTTACCTTCATTGTTCCCAACCACAAGAGACCCTCCCCCAAAACAGAGATGCTAACTGAAGAGGGGCAAGGCAGTAAAAGCTAAGCTGGAAAGGGTGGAAGCCAAAGCAGTGGGAAAGAGCTTGATTGATGGGCTACAACAAAAAGCTGTGTGGGCTCGTGTAAGCTGTGAAGGATGGGTGGGGGCATTTAACCCCAGGAAGGGGGTAGGGGAGCTGCTCACTAACCTGACTAAGGTGACTACTTCAGGGGCTTCACCAGCCTAGAGCGATGCCAACTTCTCCCACCTCGAGGTGAAGTGCCGGTAAAGCAGCCTTGGAAATAGTGACTCGTTTACTTGCCCAGGAAGAGTAACGATTTTGCCAGGCAAGTAGAAAAGAATGCCGATTTCATTCATTTTATTCCTTGGGTACTGGAGGCTGGCAAAGCAGGTATGGGCTACTAAATTCTTGGTACTTATTTACAAGGCTGCAGTAAATACTTAGAGAAACCACAGAACTTTGAAAACCAGCAACATATTAAACCTCATTATCCTGAAATTGAGGCAATTTCCTAAGTGACATCTATTCAGGGGTTGCAAAAACAGTTTCATAGAGAAATGAAAAATTCAAGTCTTTATTAGATATATAATTCAAGTCTCTTTATCAAATTTACCTCCAGAAAGAAAATAGGTTAGAAAAAACAGTTCTTGGTCTTATTTCCAAGGAGTTCTGATTCAGCCAAGGGAATAAGATTTAATGTTTCTCATAAGTTCTGTTATTTATATAAATTGATTTCTCCCATCCTTCAAAAGTTTGCCACTTTGTACTCCCAAGTCCTGCCTCTAAGCTAAGCTAACCTGGGGCATGGGGCGGAGGAGGCGGAGGTAGGGGGAAAGACTGCAGGGAAGACCCCATCGGAGCCACAAGGACAGATGTAGGCAGCGTCCCACTGATATCATCTAGAAGAGAGAACAAAGGCAAGAGGTTCAGAAATATGAGCACAGAATGTGCAAGGTAAGGCAGTGGACAGGGAGAAGATCATCAGGCTACCCTCGGGGGCAAGATGGCCTGACCTTCACCCTACACTCTCACATAGCAGGCAACAATCATCTTAATCTGTTTTGCTTTGCTTGAAAGCAGGAAAGTAAGGATAGTTCTAGAACAGTGACCAGCAGTAGATTCAAGGCTAGATCAACACAGATCCAATAAATATATGGACATTGAATATTATAGCATGCAGGTAAGAGACCCATGTACCCACTTGGGGAGCTGACGGATGCTGAGAACGGGACAGACATAATCATACATTAGAATCAATCACCAGAAGTTCAGGAACTCGTCTAGCTCCTGGCAAAGAATATCAGGTCCCTACAGCTCACCCTCCCAGTATAGCAAGAAGGCAGAGAAGGGAAAAGATTGTACCTAGGAGGCTGAGGCTTCTTCTCGGAGGAGGAGGGGGAGTTGGAGGGTGTGGAGAAGTCAGGCCCCGCTGAGAGATGTCCACATCCACAAGCGACACTGTCTCACCTGGGGGATTCACAGAGCAAGCATATTACAGAAGCATCTTGCCCAAAACTAAGGCCAGAAGCAAAGAGCAAGCAAGAGAGACTAGAAGCCCATGGCTTTCAAAAAGCTCAGAGTCCATTGCTCCCTGGAGATGGAGTCACCCCTGAAAACCTGGGAAGTTAATTTCAAATTCTTTCATTTCTTGCCCCATTTATTGTCTGGGGTTGACAATGGAAAAGCCAACTAATTGTGATTCTGTCACTGATAATACAATCTTGAACAAAGGGTCTATTTGGTATATAAGTGAGGATTTGATATTTGTATATACTACAAAATGATCACCTCTGTCTAGTTAATATTCACCACCAGAGAAAAAAATTTTTTGTGATAAGAAAATAAACTTGTAAGATAAACTTTCTTAGTAACTTTCAAAAAAGCAGTAAAATATTATTAACTAGTCACCATGCTATACATTACATCAAGGGGTCTTCTTTCACCAAAAGAACCCACACCATTTTGTTTCACAGGCTTATATGCCACTTTCTGCCTCAGGGAGCAAGGGATATAGCTTGTTACAAGCCCGAATGGACATGGAAAGTGTCAGAAAATGTAAGAACTGCATGTTTAGCCTCATGCAGATGAAAGTCCCAATGTCAGTCCCACCTTCTTCCTAAATTATTTACACATCTAGATGTCTAGTAATTCATCAGTAGCAACTTGGTGGGGGATGGCAGGTGATTTCTCTTACTTTCCAATATGCCATGCAGCTCTTTTCTCTGTCATATATATAGTCCTTGCCACCCAACCCCATCACCTCTCAAGCAGATGAAGGGTGCATTATAAATAAAGATTGGCAGCCAAAAATAGGTTTGTTTGAATAGGACTGATCTACAGGCCAGGACTTAGGATGTCTCTACTTGGGCCACTAGAGTGTTATTTCCAGCCCCATTTCCTTACTTTCCGGATTAAAAATTTTAACATTTTCATGTAAGAAGATAAGGTAACCAACATCTCCAAAAGGCCAGGAGTTAGGCTTTCAGAATCTGATACAGTCTTGTGCAAAGGTCTTGAACACTAACTTCAAAAAAGTTAGGAAGCTGGTGTGAGTCTCGTCATAGCACATAACTTGGAGACAGAACCCAGAGCAATGAAATGAGCCCAGCAAGTATTTCCTCAAAAGCAACAGAGGTCTAGATTGAAGGTTTAACACTGAACCTGAAACTACAAATGCAGGTGTTACTTTAAAGAGGACACTACTAACTAGGAAGACATGCTGCTACCAGGTCAGATTCCTTAATTCTGGGTTTGGGTTTAAGAAGTACAGAAATACCCTCTTCCCCTCTCTACTTATGCCTATTATACTGGTTCCAACAGTTCATGGCAGGGTACTTAGTAATGGGGAAAGAGAGGGTCACAACAGCATGCTCAACATCTTCCTGGAAATATCCATTCCCAAATCATGATTCTTCCAATCACTTTTTAAAAAAAAGATTTATTTTACTTATTTATGTATACAAGTACTGAGGTGCAGGCCAGAGGGGCAGAGGTATGGGAGGATTCACCAGAGACAGAGGAGAACAGAACAGGCAGATCCACTGAAATACACTGCTGAGGAGAGCAGTGGGTAAGATAGGAGAAATCTGCTGTGCCATGTGGGTCAACTCCCTGGCTGAGGATCGAACTCAAGCTGCAGTGGCTGGCAATATATATCCCAATAGTGCCGTGACTTAACCTCTGCACTATCAGAGAATAGAATGCACTATCTTGCGTTCATTTTTTTTTTTTTTTTGAGGGGACACAATATCTTAGCTTGAAATCAGTAATTTTTAAAAGACTTTTCAGCACAACCAATGTATATTCAGTTTCTGACACAGGAGTTCAGTGAGGTAAAGACCTTCTTCTCTACAGCATCTTCAAGCGAAGAGTCTCACATATGACTGACATAACAAAAGGTCTCCCTCTCTGAAACAAAGTTTCCCATTAAAGGAGAAGGCATTTGTCTAAAGCATATTCAACCCTTTTCCCTACTTCAGCAACTGTGTTCCCTACTGCAAAGACTTAAATTAGATACCATGAAAAGCTCTGACAGCTGCAAAACTGCTAACCCCTAAAATGGGTAAGACAAGAGTTCATGTAATCCCCTTAACCCAATGTTTAAAAATAGAATAGATAATCACAAATGTTTATTAGATAATCCATGAACCCCCATGGCAGTAGGGATAGGAATAGTAGGACATCCAGAGAGTCCCTTATGTACTGTAAGTTTGTAATTCCTACTTTTAATTTATATGTGATGACCCTGAACTAAAGCACCATATTACCAGCTAGTCATCTCCACTTCAAAGTATAAAGTATCCAAAGGCAAGAACACATTCCACACCATAAAAATAGCCTCACCCCAAGTCCAGCAGACATGGAATGAAGAAAGTAACTGCAGGCACGCTGAAGCTCCCTCTGTGGTGCATCTACAGGAGTTTCCTGACAGGTCTCAGAACACTCCAGCTTTCAGATGTCAGAAGAAAGAGAGATCACCCTTACCTGTGAACAGAGGGCTGAAGGAGACCGGAGAAAAGGCACTTTGAGTTCTTGTCAACCTGGGTTTCCTGGGGGGTGAGAAAGCACAGAGATTAAGGGAGAGGGGGAATGAACACATGATTTTAATATCACTATAACACTCAATTCCAAATACACTGGGAAAAAAATCCTAGTTATTGTCAGCAACACTCTTGTAATAAAGCTTAAAATTTAAAGGGGGGAGAATGAAATAATTAGGCAATTCCTTAAATAGATTTGGCTACAGAATTCACCAGCCTACAAAGTAATGAGAAATCCCTTTGGATCTCTCTATATTCAGCACATTAAAAGAGTAAAATACCTTGGGTGGTAATTAGCAAGTCCATTTCTAGAGGAAAGAAGTCAGATGCAGAGTCGATTTTTGTATGGGAGCCAAGAAAAAGACTCTTGACCTGTTCAGGTGCCATCTCAGAGCAATAGTGCTCCCTCTGGGCCTGCCCCTGGGAGCAGGAGGCCTGACAGTGAACAAGGGAAAGTGCTGGGGTTTGAGAACAGCGCTACAGGATGCATCAGCAATCCTTAACCACTGAGACCTTTGCACAGATGACCCCAAGCCGTGGTCAAGGACATCAGCTAAGAGGACTCTCCTCAAATTAGAGACTCCTGCCTAGAAACCAAAAGGACTGTCCTTTCTCTCCTCTGAGCTGCCAGCCACAGGCTGGGCCATCACCTTGATATGGCTCAAGGGAACCACCTTGAAAATCCAGATCTACTGGATAGATGTACCAGTTACACCAAAGTTAACTTCACTTTGTACCAATTTCAACTGGCTTTTCATTGAAAAATGCAGGAAATACAAAAGACCTTTACAAAGACTTTCTGGATAGAAATGTGCTAGGCTCAAAAAACTCACCTCCTGAAGATGGAGGAAATATAAGAAAAAGAAATTGTGGAGGTGAAAATGTGCTGTACCTAGAGTGTGGTAGAGGTTATGATAACTTTATACATTTGTCAAAATAGAACGAGATTACAAAAAAAAAAGATGAATTGCAGACAGTATGTACATTACATCTCAATAAACCAGACTTTAAATAAAATTTAAACTCTGTACCAGTGGAGGGGACAGAAATTAAGAAAATCCAAAATAAAATCCTATTTAAAATTCTTTGGCTTAGGAAGATTATTTATGCGCTTATGTTTTAATATACAAAGTTTGAGATTCTCAGGATTTACTTCAAGGAAGATTTCAAAACCACACCCTGAAGACCTTACTCGAAATGGCTGAGTCACTGGGACCCTCTCACACGCCCCTGCAGCCCCTCCATGCTGAGACTCAGGAAGCCTGAGGGTGACCACTGCGAACGCTCTGCTCCCAGCACACACCAGGGAAGGGACCACACGAAAACAAAGCGCGAGCACATGCCATCCCATTTATTTATAAAGTTTCTCATGACAGTCTGCAGCTTTGTTCCAACACTTCAAGGGCTAGAAGGAAAGTATATGCCACTGGATATGAACTTTAAGACTGAAGAGTTTCCGAGATGAATTTTATTTGATTATTTGTGGGTACAACATTAAAACTCAGTAAGCAGAAACCTACAGCACTGGCCTTTCAAAAGGTTTACACCTCAGCCATTTGGCCGTGTGCCTCCTTTCAAAGGAAGCTGCATTACTCTGCCATCTGCCCAAGCTAGGGACGAGTCTCTTCAGTGCCAAGCACTGAAGAACGGCAGTTCCCAAATGCACACATCTTGCGGAGGCCTTCTCGCTCCAGCTCATCTTCTCCCCCGCCCCCGGCATCTTGAAGAAGAAAATCATAGTTTCTAGGATCTAGAAAAAGAAATACATAGACTCTAAAGCCAGGCAGAGCCATTTGAGAAAGCCGGGATGATTTTTTTCCAGCAAATAAATGGGGCCTAATAGCTAGGAGCTTGGAGAGGTAGAAGGTCTAAGTGGCTGAAGGCTAATAATAAATGTGAGTTCTTCCTTCTCTTTTCAGGAGATAGTGCCTAACTGAAAAACCTAAGAAGTTTCTATCTCAAGGATCCTAAGAGCATTCTAATGGTAGTCATTCATGGAAAGACCAATCTAGACAACTATAAAAAAGCAAAAGCAAGGGAATGATTAACATAAAATAACTGCCTGAGGGGGATGGTGGTTACCTGGGGAGACAGGCAATATTATCAGGAAGCAACACACAGGGGTCTCCGAAGGTACTAAGTGTTCTTTTTGCTAAACTTTGAGATGGGTTCCTAGATAGGCTTTTCATTATTAGGCCACATATGTATCTCCTTTTGTGTATATGAATATTTAAAATGACAAAAGCCCATTCTAAGCTGGATGTACTGTTATGCTGGAGAGCACCAAACTCTTTCATACCACATTCTTGTGTCATTTTATTCCTCCCCAGACCATCTTGACAAGCATTGGGTTGTCCAGTTATGCCACTGTAACTGGACGTGCCAGTTGTAACTGAGGTGCCAGTGGGATGCTTGCACCTCAGCAGCAGAGACAGGAGAGATGGGGAGGGATAGGATTTGGTGGGCTAGGCCTCAGGTCACAGAAGAGGATAGGGCAGCAGAAGGCCATGGCAAATGTCTTCTTTGAAGTTAACAGTCCTCTATGTCAGTTATGCATTGCTTGTGCTGCAGGTTAATAAAAAGACATAGTGACTCTGTCCATTTCCACTCTGCAAATTACTCATCTGGCAACAGATCTGGGGGATAAAAGGAGTTAAAAACATTATACTAGACAGGCCAACAAGACTTGGAATAGTCACTGGCCATTTTTTAAACTCCTCAAAACCTAAAATATAAACAATGAAATAGTAATACCATCTATCTCTTGTCCATAAATCTCATTACTAACATCCTACAGACTTAAATGTCCTTTTCTAAAGTAACTTAAAATTTAAGATGTCCAAATATCAGGTTTTGCAGCCCTAATGTACCTCTGCCCCTGCTAAAGCACTCAGTGCCAATTCAGCCAGCCTGTGCCATTTCCAACACGTCATAAACCAGTGTCTGTTCATGCGCTACAGGCACAAAAACCATGTGTTCGTTTTTAGTTCCAATACACAGACATCTGTGCAGCAAGGTCAGATCCAAAACTCCATCATAAACCAAGTAAAGACTCCATAGAGGGAACTTCCAGGGAAAAGCCAAGAAGTGTAGTCCAAGGTCTGAAACCTTAGGAATGATGTTAGTGGGGGAAATGTAAAGAAGGGAAAGACACAAGACCCAAATGGACAGATAAGAGGTTGCTGAAGCCAGGTGTTTATTCCAAAAGAGAGCTGCCAACCACAACCACTTTGTGGAAAATAGTTAAAAAGATCAACAAAGTATAGACCCAAAACCCAAACATAAAGTCATAAACATAAAGTGGTCCTCACCACGGCATAAAGTGTTCTCCGTGTGTTCTTCTATTTGTCAAAAAGACCCCCTTAAGCCTGAAGACCCAAAGAAACAGAGAAAAGGGTTTCTCATATCTGCCAGGTCTGTCCACAACAGCAGGGTCCCCAAAATGATGCCAAGGCAGCTTGCCTCTTTCCAGAGTTATATCTTTTTTCCAAACAAACAGATAAGAAACCACTACAACACTGTTTTCCATTTTCCCACCTCAAACTATGAAGACAACCAGTGATAGCCTTCAACAGTTAATTTGGAAAAAACAAACCAAACCTTGCATGATGAACAAAGTACTCCCAACCAATTACACATTATCCTGATAATTCAAAGCAATCACATCAAATGCTATATATCTCATCAAATACAAAGGAAGACAGTCAGCTCAACATACAGAGAAGGGAATGTCACTAGTGTTCCTGAAATAGCAATCCTACATTACATGAGGTCCAAAGGCATCAAGCCCAGCTCTTTAAATTCCAACATATGTGTTACAAAGCCTAGCCCAGTTCTCCAGAACAGAAATCTGACTAGTTGGTGGGCCCATTTCTTCTTTAACTTAAAAGAGTTCTCTAAGCTAATTCAAGTAAACTTAAGACTCCATATATATCTAGTCAGGTCCACTTGGCAGACTCTAAAAGCATTTGAAGTTTTGCATAATGTTAAAATGTGGGAACTGTTAAGTCTTATAAAATGACTGTAGGAAGTAATTTCTAGCATAGCTGTGGGAAAGGTAGATGTTGAGATGAGTAAGAGAATCATGCCCAGAGGTTACCGTAAAAACCCCCAATTGTACAGCAAAGACTACAGAGACCCGTAATTAACTCCAACAATGAAGAGGAAGTCATATACCGTCTAGCAAGACTGGCATTTCTCACACCTAGAAGCCTTGAGTCCTCTCCATCAAAACAAGAGAACAAGCTAAAAATCCAAACTCATCCTTCCTCCCAGCCTACTTAGAAGGTACAGATCCACAGAAATCGCAACTACCCTGGCCAGACTTACCAAGTTTCTCACAATTGCAAGGCTGCCAACAAGACTGGCACATAGTAAGCTGTGGAAAAGCTAACAAGCAAATCTAACAGCACCAAATCCTAAGCATAAAAATACCAGTTCAGTCTTATTCTCCAAAAGCACAAAATATTCGTTTCAATTTCACTTGACTTCACTCTATTCCTGTAAGGATAGGAACAGACAAGAACCACTCCTATTTTACAGATGATGACAAATTTGGCCTGCATCCCATGGCTGATGTTGGTGCTCTAAATGGAACCTAGATGTTCACATTCTCTGTACAACATGCTCCCTGCTAGCTGCAGTCAACCAAACGTTCATACACAAATACCAAGCTCTTCTCCAATTCATCAGAAAAAGCCCTTGGACCAAAAAATGTAATTCTCCAGTGCCCTGAACTAAGCTTCTTTGCAGAGCTACAGCCCAATTTGCTCTGCAGCAAAAATCTGTATTGTGCTTAGTGTGAGGGCTGGTGACAGAGCAGCCAATGACCATTAAATTCTGCTTCCAGAGGCAAAAAACCGTATAATGTTATATGCCTTTTCCTCTTCCTAATCTATTAGACATAGCAGCTAATTTCACGCCACACCTCATATTTGGCATCTCTGGAATCTGCGACCAAGTTCTGGTCAATATGAACAAAGGCAAGACAGACCACAAGAAAATTAGCAATCTATTCTATGTCATTACCCAGTTTCAGTCCTGCCCTTCCCCATCTGATGAAATTTCACCCAGACTGGCAAGTGGAGCGTCCAATGTAGAGCCTACTACCAAAAAAAAGCTGTTTCAGTAGCCACACACTTTTTAAGACTTCATTCATTGGAAGGCAAATACAGAAATAGGCCTACCTGCAGAAGTAACAGGCACCAACCCACGGGTCTTTACTGAGTTTGGGTTTGGACTGATCTCCAAGCTGAGCCCCTGGCAGAAAGGCAACAAAGTCAAACTGATCCCACACTTTCCTCTTGGAGTAACCAAGAGAAAATTCTATGGATAGGTGGTTGGTTCCCCATCCAAGTCATACTTCAGAATGAACTGGGGAGCTTTTTAAAACTTCAAATCCTTGGACCTTCAGACAAATTCTTGAAAAAAGATCAGCACATCAGTCCATGATTCTGGTATACACTGAAGTTCCTCTTTTTTTGGTACACTGAAGTTTCAATTTATCTGCCCACCTGTTCTTCAGCCTTGGGTTGAGGTCGCTGCCAATATCTCAAGGATCCATCACTTGTGCCACACCAAAACCAATTCCAAAGTTTCTACCCATTCAATGGTACAAGCCTCAACAGCAGTTCCCACAGGAAAGCCACTGACACAAAAATTGACAGCTCTCCAAACGAGTGACAGATCTAACACTGGATGTCAGAGAGCAGATCCCATCCCCCACACTCCTTATTCCCAGAAATGCAGGAAAATGACAATGTCTCGGTCTGGAAATTTTCATCAGTTGGCCTAGAATTCATACACCGAAGTCTGTAACTCAGAATTCTCACATGGGCTTGAAAGCAAAGCTAGTTTCCATTCTCATAGACAGTGGTCAGCACACAGACTGAGATAACATGTATATCCAGGCTCCAATCAGGAAAGCATTAAACCTCAGAACAGAGGCTGACGGTGGGCCTACAACTACACAAGTCTGTCACATCACCTGTATGCACAACCAGTGAGGGAGGGGTGCTGGCATACAGGAAAGAGAGGGTTAAGCATGATGGTCAAAACGGTATCGGCAACTTTTTGCCCAAAAGGCCAAACATTTCCAGCAACCTCCCTGCCAAAGATCATGGCAAACCGGACACCTTAGCAAAACTTTAAAAGCTGGGCCAAGGAGGAGGAGGGGCTAATTTAAAATAATTTCCCAACTAGAAAGATGTTAACCAGCGCAGAAACGTGATAGAAGTGAACGCCGTTCCCACAATTAGCTCTGACCCAAGTCTCTTTATCCTCAGGAAGCCCACACAAGCATTGTCGGGATCGTGTTAGCACTGGGCTAAATGAGAAACACACAAGTTTGCTGGTCAAGCCCCTGGCAGGTCTCACCTCCCCGCGTCCAGCTCCCGGCCCGCAGAGCCTCCCATGTCCGTCAGGCTCGCAGCTGAAGCAGCCAGCTCTCCAGAAGGCCTCTTACCGGCCCCATCCACACCGCCGGAGCCACCGTTGCAGCTCTTCGTGCGAAAGAGGCGACTGAGGCGGATTTTGAGGGAGCCCTTCCGAGAAGGGCCCGCGAGTGGCCGGAGGGGCGCGGGAGGAGGCGGGGGCGGAGGCGGTTGCTGCTGCTGCTGCTCCGCTCTACTCAAGCGCCCTGGAGGGACCAAGTCCTGCAGCGGGAAGGGCACCGGGGGTAATTCGGGGCCTGGGGGCTGCAGCAGGAGCCGGCCACCCACTCCTCCTCCGCGGCCCGGGCTGCTGAGCTCCTCTTCCGAGCAGCTGTTAGTCTCCAGGCTCTCAGCCTCCGACTCCAAGCCCTCCAAGACCAGCAGCGCGTCGCTCGTTTCCGTGGGGTCCTCCCCGGCCTGCCGGGCGGCAGCAGGCGGCTGGGGCTGCGGAGGGGGTGGCTGCGGGGGGCATGGGCACGGGCAGCAACCCCCACCGACCGTCTTGACCCCTGGCCCCGCCGGCTGCCTGAGCCCCAGAGCCGCCAACTGAGCCTCTAGTCCAGCCGCCGGGCCCCAGCTCCGCTCGAGTGCCAGCCCCGGCGGCAGGGCCTTGGGGTCCAGGGCACAACGGTGCCGGGGACACAGCAGTTCCGAGGGTCCCGGCTCCGGGGCCGCCTCCGCGTCCTCCTCCTCCGGCGGCCGACCCACGTTGCGGAACACCATCAGCTGCGGCGGCCGGGAGCCCCGCGGGCCGGGCCGCGCGAGG